AGGGGGGAAATAAAAGTCCTATTAACATGCTCGTCCTCATTGGTCTTGACAGCTTGATCAATTAGGCTCCTCTTTAGATGACCTCTGTGCTACAGTGACAAGAGGGTGAGTCTGAAATGAATAGTTCAGCCATGTAATGGGTTGCACTCAGCCTTCAGAAATTTTATCCTGCAAAGGCAAACTCTTGTGCAGTGTTGAAGCAGGTGAGCTGGCCGAATGGCAAGTTGGATTTGGCGTTTGTGGCTCTAGGCCCTGCAGACTTTGAATAAATCTTAAATCAGTAGCAGTTTGCTTTGTTTTGTTTGTATGACAAAGAGGATTTCACAAGCAAAAATGTGTAACATTCCTGGCATTTGATTTACATGCAGTACAGAAGATTTTTTTTTTTGTCTTGTGTCCAGCTTTGAGCCTTCTGGCACATTGTTCTTATGTTTCGTATTTCATCAGGTTAAGCGGACATTAAAACTTGCATGGTTTTCCTTCCATTGCTGCTGGCAAAGGTCAACCACGGGCACAACATGTGCTTCCCCAGGTTTTTTGTAACAAGGATGGCAACAGAAAAAGATTAAAAAAGATCTATCATAGCCTTTTCACAATCAAAAACCTTACGGGCAGCTGCTACACTGGGAAAATTCAATATACACTGTGGGAGAAATAAAACTAAACCAATTCTAAATGGTTGTAAACATCCTAAAAATGAGAAGAAAATTTATACAATTTTGGTATATAGAATATGTATTCATTTTTAAATATAAAAGATTAATTTCATAATAACACGCTGTATGTTTGGTGCTTTATATTTAACGCCATCTGGGCAAGCTGAAAAAAGCGTAGACCATTTGAGAAAGTGCAAACACACGCTTAATGTCTTTGAATATTCACCAAAGGCGTCGGAAGTCAGCATAAAGTATTTTTATAATATTACTTCTGCTCCTTCCTCTCAGAAAATTATTCAAATTGCACCCTGAAGTGAAGTGCTTTGATAAATAGGGCCCTTTGTGGTCTTTGCAAGGAAATCTAGCCTCAGACTGGAAGTGAAAACCGTGAATGAAAGCTGACATTATGAGCCAACATAAAACGAATGACTGCAGATCCTATCAGAGAAATACATTATTCTGTGTAAACCTGATTTCAAAACATCTTTTGCAGTTCAAAAGGGTCAGTGGCCTATATGCTATGTTTATTTTTCTCCCTGTTAATGGTGATCTTCACCTCAATTTCTAAAATGGAAACAAATATTCCTCATCTACAGGTCATTTTGTTCTACAACAGGTTTCAATGAAACAAGGAAATCAGAAGAGTATGTTAGGTGCACCAGTTTGTGCTTTACAGTTTTCTTGTCTTTTCTCAGTCTGAAGAGTGGGCTTCTCCACCCAGCGTTTTAGATGCTAGCTTGAGCCCTTATGCGGAGAAAATCCTATCAAGATTAAACATTCTGCTCACACGAAACAAGAAGATTTTTCCTCTCTGTCTTTCTCCAGGCAAACTGAGGCATCGACTTGTTCTGTTTCTAAAGCATAATCTGGTTCTTTGCGGCAGCTAAACTAATTACAACCTCACAGGTAGCAACATTCCAACTGGACAAATCCTGATGCTTAAGAACCATGGACACAGTTCCTCATTCTGCACAGAATGAATGACCACAGCACTCTGGGGCAAGCACTTAATTCTATCTCTTTGCTTTTATTTAATACAAATTCCATTATTATTTGGAAGGAAACAAGACCACTATGTGTAGTATTTTAATTAATATATTGTAGTCCTCAAGAAGCTTGGTTTTGCCACATTGGGCATTGCTTCTTTTCATACTGTAAATTATAATAGAAGTGGAGATGTGTGCCCATGCTTTTGTCATCAGTTGAAAAGAAAAACAAAACTGCATATGGCAAATTTTATTAAAAACTTTCCTGTTTCTTCAAACTTTGTGCTGAAACACCCACCAGGTTTCTCATACACAGACAGGTGCTTGATGTCAGCTGTCACAGCTGCAGTCAGACCCATGTGAACTGCCTTGTCCTTGCCACTCACTTGGTTTTCTTTTTAAATACTTCTCACCTTAAGAGGCGGGAGCCTGCCTATAAAGAATGCATACTCCCATAATGATTGCAGTGGGCTTAATTGAATATTGACATTCTGTATATGAGGCTAAATGGAATCTGTCTAACATGTAACTCCAAGGCAGCTGTAGCATTAACCTGTTTGAGGTTCCTGCGAAAGAGTCATTAAGATCCAGTCATTTGGGATGCAAGGTGCGTTCTTGACTTTTATTTGTAATGTCTCTTCCCCTCTAATCAGCTTCAGAAGTCGCACCCTTTTAAATGGGTGGTTAAAAGGGTTCACTTTATGAGTCTTTACTTGTTACATTTAAGAAAACGTAAAGTCTTTCCCATAATGTTTTCCAGTTTAGACAGCATGAGCTTTGCAGTACAATCAGACCCATAGTGTACATAGTATTTCCTTCTTGAAATTTGTCTATCCTTAATCTTATATGGTTTAGAAAATGCAATGGCTGAATGGACAGAGGAATATTTCATAGCACTCTACTCCAATAAACAACTCATTGTAACTCCCTGATCCTCCTTAATTCATTTTTTTTTTCCAAATGGCATTTGATTAATGGTTTCTTCCTCCTTTTTTCAATTGGCCTTTATAGTGAGTATTTGTTATTCTAGGTGTATTTACTCTAGTAGCACTGCGGTCGTTTTATATTCTAGACGTATTTAGTTTAGGCTGTAAAAACTGTGCTAGCTATAGTATCGAAAAATAGCTGCACATATTTGAAAACTGTTCAAAAATGTGACATGATTGTTTAATTTATGTGATTGTACAAGCATACCTTGTCTCTTCATATAGGAGCTGAAATGTAGAGAGCTCAAAAGCTCCGTGGTCTTCACATTTTTTAGAGCCAAAGCTCTTTGAAAATGTGTGGGAAAAATCGGAATCCCAGGACATCCGAGAGGTCTAACCAATGGACGCTCTTGTTTGGAGGGCGGGCTGAGTGAGATCCATTGTCCAGGCATATCCGTATGGAGTCTAGCTTTCCTGGTCATTAAGGACACCAATAAGGTTTGGAACATTAGACAGTAGGTATACTTCCAGTGTCCTGGTTAATTGCACTTCAGGCCTGTGCAGTCTGGCCTGCCTGTATACCTTCCTTGATTTCACATTGACACCTCCTGATCTGATATGTTGTTGGGCTGCTGTGCGTCAGCCAGGTTGATGCTGCACGTTAGTGGGGGGTGAAGGGAGTCTCTAATTTGTAAAGATCCTTTGGTGTCCTTACAGATTGAAAGAGCATTACAAATAATAAAAGGATTTTCAGCTGATTATGAGAGGGATGCACCAGTGAGTTTGATTGGACTTCAGTTAACCCTTATCTTCACGTTTGTTGTCTGGAGGTCTACAAGTTTGCGGTATTGTAAATAAGTGGCAGCCTCATTACTCTTGCAGATGGATACTAATTCTGTTGTGGGCCCTGTAGGGCTCGCACTGTGACAAACAGCGGATTGCTCTGCCAGATTTGTTTCAGAGGAAAGCGCTCGCAGTTTTCACCCCCTAGCTTATGCTGCAACAAGATGTGCACTGAGCTCAGCTGATGCTTTTCCTACTTCTAAAAAACAATGAATCAAGTAAGATATCTATATATAAATTGTGGTATGTTTTTCAATTTATTGCATTTCCGAATCAGTTTGATCTACACGCTGCCTTGGTTCAAATTACTGAATTTTTTTAAATACTGCGATCTTCTTTAAAATCATGGTCTTAAAATGTCTTCAGCTGTTGATGGAATCTGTAGTCATTTTGTAAATGTGGATGCTAAGATTCATTTCAAAAGCTTCAAAACCCATTATGCTCTTGATTAGCCAAGTTGAGATGCAGTTAGCCCAGCCCAGGACTTCATCTGAACAGTGTTTTCTTGAATTTGACTTTTTTTTTCCATCACTCCACACAGTACAGTCTTGCACAAAAGAGTTTTTTTTTTCTGGAACCACTTAATTTGTATGACAACACACCTCGGCGTAGTTCGATATTCATTCAACAGAGCAGATGGAAAGATCCTTCACTGTAACAAACTCTATTGATATTTCTAGACTTCTTTTCCCCTCATGAAATGCAATATCGCACTCGGACTAAATGACTCAAAATAGCACAGCCTTACTCCAAAACATCCTGTTTTTCTGATTGCAGCAAAAGCATGATGTTGATTTTGTGTAGCTCACAGCCCGCAGCTCTCAACACCTACTCTGTTAACATCCTCTGATGTTTAACTCATAGCTCATAGAAATAACACCTTAACAAAAATATTTTTTTTCCAAAGTTCTTGTATTTCTCTTAAGCATTTTGACAATTTTCAGAGGCTTGATTACCCTTTTCGCATCCATTGACTGAGGAATTGAGAATTAATCGCTTCCCACACTGGTTGAGATTTTGAAAAACAAATTGAGGCAAGAATGCTAAGGAGCAGAACGTATGTGTGATTTCTTTAATTTCAATTTTCATTTTAATTAGCTGCTCAACATGAATCCTATCCCCCCTTCCCCCACCGTTTTTCATTTCCCAGTAACATATTGATTGCAATACCGTCAACTGACAAGCAAATTTATAAAGCTATGAAACCTTCCCAAGCAATATGCCCACTGCGGCTGAAATAAAAATTCAGAAATGGTTTACTCTTTTCATGATGGTAACCATTCTGTTTTCTTTGCTGTGTAGTGGGTCGTGTGACCCGAAAGCTCACAGAATTGCCATTTTTGCTCGGGTTCGCTTTTATTAAAGTTCATACATGTGTCGTACAGTCTACAGGTGGCATTTATCTTCCAGGCCAAAGTATTCTTCTCTGATGGCCACCTTATCACGTTGCCCTTCCCAAGAATTAGTACGCCTTCAACAAAGATGGGATTAAACTGGTACTCTCTATAGTGCACTACATGCTGGGTGTAGTTTAATTTTGTTTCCAGCTCTGTTCATATCTTAAGCATGTATTTTCTCTTTTCCCACAGGACACCCTGGTTTAACGGATGGGGTTTTAACCTGCCTCGAGGCCAGTCTTTATTGGACAAGTGGAACCTTGTTCCAGAAGGCATTGATATTCTCATGACCCATGGGCCTCCACTTGGTAAGCTTAATTAGCTTAATTACAAAAATTCATTATCACATTAAATTGATTTCCTTTTTTAATCATTTTTGGTTTATGGATAGTCTAATTTAGATGGCCTACCTGTCATCGTTTTCAATTTTCTTTTGTCATTATCAAAGATTCCTGCCACTGAACTGCAAGATAGAGCAGCGCTGAATTACTCTGTTTAATAATTCTGTGCCCATCAGTGCACCTTTTTGATAATACGGTCTGTTTTGCCAAAAACAAACAGGGGTGCAGTGTTCTTTTAAACTGCTGTAGTAAAATGATATTTCTCTCGCGTTTTTTACTTTGCCTTTTTAAACCACCCTGTCCTCTGCAAGTGGTCTGTCATCTGTTTAAATCGGGGGGTGGCCACAGAAATCGGTTTGCTGCATCAAAACTTGATTTGCAGCTGTGACAATAGAAACGGCAGTGAGTTATTATTACTGGTGACTGGATGAAACCTTCTCCAAACAGAGAAAATGACACTATTGATTGAGTTTTGCCTCAGGTTTCAGAGACTGGGTACCGAAAGAGCTGCAGCGAGTGGGCTGTGTGGAACTCCTGAACACAGTACAGAGGCGAGTCCGGCCCAAACTCCATGTTTTCGGTGGAATTCACGAAGGTGAGAGCTTATTTCTGGACCGTGTTTTCTTTAAAATCTTAACGTAACATGTTTGTTTGAAGAACGAAAAGTTCTGATCTTACTCTTACTTAGAGGTTTGTTGTCAGTTCCCGAGTCGTTTATTTCTCCTCACTTTTATGCAAGTCTGTTTTAACAGTCATAGGAAAAAAGTTCCTTGAGTTGGTTTCATCTGATTTTGATATTACTGTGCATACTGCATATAACAAGTATTACTATTTACATAGTTTTGTCAAAATTAAAAAGGTTACCTAGGCAATAAAACCAGATGTTTCGGGTTAAAATTGCTTTAAAGGTGCTCTGTTTCTATATTAAGAGTTCTGACTTTAAAATATATAGGCTATGATGTGATTTACAGTATATCAGGGATATTCCCATCTGGACATGGGGGAGAGTTGTGTTTTAAGGTTTTCATTGTCTGAACTCTTCAGCAACCCATTGGAGTGTGTTGGTTTAAGTGGTCCAATTTAACTCCTTTTCCCTCTTCTCAAGCCGTTGGTTTTAGCTGTTGGTTTTAGAAATAAATTAAAATCCTGCAGGGTTGTGGCTCTCAAGCAATGACAATATGCTTCCCTGCTCTGTGGTCTATAGAACTAAAAGTAATTCTGTTTTTTTGGTCCACAGAACTAAAGAACTATAAGAACTAAATAAAAAAAAATTGTGAAGAATATAGTCATTCAGGTTTAACATCTGTAAAACAAAATTCTCTTGACTCCTGTGTTTCCTTGCAGCTTCCCAAAAAAAGAAATTTAGTAGAATATGATGTTTTGATTTCAAATGATGGCTGATCAGGACTGATATTCAGCTAAAAAAAATGCTGCAGCAATGAAAAAAATAATACCGCCTGCAGTATCTCAGAGAAGTAACTTCAGTGACCCTGTCACAAAGCAAGCACAGAAAAATGCCCAGATCAGAAATCTGACAAAATAATTATTTTACAATTTGTTTATAGTGAGTGAGGACTGGAAGGGAGTGCAATTTGTCTCTTGTTTCCACAAAGATGATGGTACAGAAACAGCCTGGGATGCCAATTCTTAAGACAAATCAAAAGCATGGTGTTATCCCTCAACATTAACGTGTCATTGCTAGGATTAAACAAGAAAAAAAAATCATCAAATTAATATCATACTGAGCTCTGGCATAATCTCTGCTTTAGAGGCCTAATCTGTTTCTGCGCTAGTAGCTCATGCAGCAGGCTGTGTTTGTGAAATGTCCTTTCCCTTGTGTCTTTTGTATTTTTTAATTAAAAAAAGAATTAACATCGTTAATAAAAATCTTGGTCTACAGGGAAGCCAAACAATGTGACATGACAGTATGTTTTCTCTATTTTTTCAATTTTTTTCTTGTTGTTGTTTTATCTTACTTGGTAGATGTTTTGTTTTCAAAACATTTTAGTTCTTATTTTTCTCAATGGCTGGCTTCCACTGGATAATGTGGAACTTATGCCATCCTTGTTGTATTTGTTTGCTTCAATTAATGAGAAATTTAACACGTGCCATCCCTGTTAGACAGTCAAAGTTGACATTTTACAGCACTGGAGACGATGAAAAGAAAGTCAGTTCTCCTAATTATGAACAATCAGAACACCTGTGTGATGCTGCGTCTCACATCAGAGTGAATATGGAGGCCAAAAAGACTGTCCAATATAGCAGCTGTTCTCGGCTGGAACAGTGGAGAAGGTGTCAGTCTGCAGCCGTTCTTGACAGTCGGATCTGACTGCCTCTTGTCTCTTTGCAGGTTACGGCATTATGACAGATGGTTACACGACGTACATTAACGCATCTACCTGTACAGTCAGTTTTCAGCCGACCAACCCTCCAATCATATTTGATCTCCCCAACCCACAAGCATCATGAAACACTACCCCTGCTTTGGGGGGAGGGGGGGGAGGTCTATTTACATACCATTTTTTTCTAACAATAAGCCAGAAGAATCCTAATAAATGTTTCTTTCCACGATATTGGTCTTTTGTAAACTGATGGTACAAAAGTAAAAGATTTAAAAAGAAGAAAAGCTCATGCTGTTGAAAATGGATAGGATCTTTAAGAATATGAAGCTTTGTGAATTTGTATAACTACCATATATATTTTGTTTGCATTTGCTGGATACATTGTTAACTGTAATTTGGTATGTTCTCTCTACGGGACAATTAAGCTTTCTTTGGGTAGATACGTCTACTGCCTTAAACTAACTTTGTTGTGATACACAAAGAAAACATTTATGGTCAAGTATGAATGCCCATTATTTATTTTCCGTAAGGAATTATAAGGCAAATGTGCATTCGGGTTGCACGCAGTGCAGAGTTTCGATCCAGAAAGTTGCAGCTTAACTCTCGTTCCTCGTTCCAGATTTAATCTTATGTGCACCAACTTCACCAAAATACTTTGTTCTTTTTCTTTTGTTTTCTGTAATGTCTACACTAGTGCTGTTTGCATGTGCATAAGCACTAGTCCTACACGTTGTTTTTTTATATAAAGTATATACAACTAAGATGTAAATCTTTTTGTTGAATCTCCTCTGATGGAGAGGATATGCTTAATGAAAATAATCCAAGTTTTTATGTAATGAATGGAACAACATGTTTAGCTGTAACCCTTTTTCTAACACATCTGCCTAAACAAGGTTTATTTGTCCTTAAAATCTTAAATATTATTGTATTTGTGTTTTTACTTTTTTCTTAATTTTGCACTGTGTGTAAATGCAATCTTGCTAGCACAAAAATTGTTGCCAATAGTTGTTTCAACTTTGCCACTGTAAATGCTACTGGGCTTTTTTTCTGACTTAGGTTCTTTGTTTATGGAAATTTAGAAATGCATTTTTTCTTTAAAATTATTGTGATATATATTTAGCTGCCTTTATATGCAAATAAAATTGCAGAATTTTTACTTATTAAATCTGCGGTTTTAAAAACTCCTTTTTATTGTTGCATGCGTTTGAAAACCAGTGGCTGGAATCATTACATCAGTTTTAAAATGTTGAATTCAACAGTCAACGGAGCACTTGGAGACTTAAATTTGATTTTCATTTGATTGCTTTCATTATCAAATCCTATTTTAAATAACTTAGAACATGATGGTGTTCAAGCTTAACACATTCATTTTTCATTTGTGTTCACATTGTACAGATTCTCTCAGGCACTTATCTCAAGTTCAGATTGCTATCTACAAAGTCTCATGACAGCCTCGGAATGAAAGATTTTGTGCATGTACTGTAGCTGTGCTGATCGCCTGATTCTCTCAGATGTGCTCAAGTTAGTGGTTGTAGGGACTCTGGAAGACACTCTGAGAAGAATCTGCATTCACAGAGTGAAGACATGGAGTGGGTTGGGCAACAGCACAGTAACTACCCCATGGTATGTGGTGAATTTATTCTTGCATTTAGCCACAGTGAGTTTTTTTGTCTATAATTAATTCATCTGGAATGCAACAACTTGCAATAACCTGATTGGTTCCTGAAAATTGTACTTTTTGACCATTGTCAGCAGAAAATGATTTTGCCAATTTAAAAAAACAAACCCGGCGCACTTGGGGAGTTCCATTGCAAATTGGAAATTTCCCAGGGTGAATTATTGGCACCTGCGCAATTTGTGGAATCTAGCCACGACGGATCGTTAATATCATAAAGTTTGCGCAAGACTGTTTCCCTGCAAAAGACGGGAAATTGTTTGGAAAGAGGTGTCTAGTAAATATTGGTACATCATTGTGTAACAGCACGTTAACACTGGATTGCTTGTGATGAAATCAGATTTTTTTAAAGCATATTTTAAAATTACAGAACTGAAAAATCTGAGTAAATTAGTAAAAGAGATCCTAATGTAGCATTAGAAAATTCTGTTGTAAAACTGCTGTTAGAAGTGCCAATATCTGTATTTGCTTGGAATAAGCTTGATGTGTTGTGTATACGCTGCTGGTTCTGCTCAGTCAGCTGTTGCTTCCATTAATACTGCTTTTTCTTCAAATACATCAAAAGCATGGACCTTCATCTTCTACTCAATAATAAATGAATCCCACATGAACAATCATGCAACAGCAGCAGCTGCTTTTAGGAAGGGCTGAAATAATTGGAATTGTTCTCAATTTTATTTTGTCACGTCAAATGTTGACACACTTCACATGATGTGCCTCCCTTCGTTGTCCTTGATGCATTTCCATGAGTGGCGACTCTCTTTTTGTTTAAAACACAATAAGTGATCGAAAGCGACTGATGTATGTTACTCTTCAGTGTGTGTTTCTGTTTTATTTTGTGGAGCCCATCGGCGTGCCTATTAAGGAGAAAAAAAATGGTCCAGGCCTTGAAGTCTAAATTCTGGGTCTGTCCCACTGAAACCAAACGTGAATCCCTCCAAGGCCAAAAATAAAAAAAAAACTGTCAGAATTCACCCCCAACCCCCACCTCCACCGCAGATCAAAGGAGCCAAACCAATTAACTTTCCCCAACTACAGCATAAAATACAGCCTGAGACCCGTTAAAACCTGTGCTTTCATTATCATAATCCACCCTAATCATATTAACATAACCCTTGAAATCAGTGTGAAAACCCATGTTTGTATAAATGTGCATAATCCGAATGTCTCCATGTGTCAGTCTGTGTATGTAGCCATTTTTATTTTGGTGTATCTTTGTTAGCCACTGTGTACAGTGTTTCGATTGCAATTCAGTTCTTGCTTTCCAATGTTTGCCGAATACACTGTATGTACCTATATACAGTAGGTGTATACATATACAAATACATTTGTAGTAGCATTTTGCAGAACTGGTGCCATGTAACCATTTCTTAATCTATTAAGTGGTCTAAACCTTTTTAGTTCAGGTGGGGAGCTGCGTCAGCATGCGTAGGCTGCAAAGAAACAAGTAATAGGTTTATTCCATGCTGAAAAATAAAGAAGAAAGAAAACACAACGTATTTGCCGTGGAGCCTTCTTCAGGTGTGAGAGAGACAAGGCAGTAGGCAAAGGTAATGTCACCTTTTTAGTTAAGTTATCCTTATTTACAAAACTTCAACATCAGATCTCAAAGTAAACCAAGTTGGGTCTGGTTGATGCCACAATGGGCCATCTCCAGGGAAAACCAGGTTGCTGCTGTATATGTTGTTATTGGAAGATGCCTTCCTTCAGACGAGACGTTGAACCAAGGTCCTGAAAATTAAAGAGTAGCATATTAAAATGTACTCTGAGCTTGAACAATGTAGCAAGGTTCCTCCTTAATTTGGTTGGTGAAGCAATTCCCGGTAAGTCCATCAATGCTGGAAGTGGGTCCCTTCCTATACAGTATATAAAGAGCTTTGAGTTTCTGTGGGATGAATGTGGATATTTTAGTATACATCTATTACTAGAGTTGATGTACATCTGAATGCTGTTATAAATTAAATTCCTCACATGTGGTGTCTTAGAAGTTCTAATGATTCAACTAATCAGAAATATAGGGCTTCAATGTGCAGGTCTACAGGTATGTATGCATACATTTGTGGAGGTGTAAAGTTTTGCAAGGCACTGTTCAGAGCACTGAAAAAATGTTGGAGTATTATTTTTCCTGCTGTGCTGCATGCTTACAGATTACCAACCATCAGAGTCATAGCTGTCTAGTTATGTGACTAAATCCCAACAGCTGTCAATGGGTGAGCACTGATCACCTAGGAGTCTGGCTCTCTGTTAGCTAGACAGTTTGTCTCTTCTTCAGGAAAGTTTTAACTTCCCTTCACTGGCACTCTATCAAAGCCACCCAAACATCCTAGTTATGCGTCTGTGAGGGTCTGAGTTGTGAGGAGTGTATGAATTGGAGCCAGGATTAAATGTCATCTCTGGGGGACTAAAAAATACTCTATGCCTTGGAAAGGGACAGTTGTGTTAGAGGAAGCACTTGCAAATGTTCCTTAACCCACAATGCCTTTTAGTTTTTCTTTCCTGTTTCAGCAAATTAAATATAAATTAGTGGTATTAAACATGGTATTTAAATTCCTAGTTTAAACATTTTATAAGTTGAGAGTATTTTTAAATGCAATCAGAGGAAAGGTGGCACAACACTTGTTCTGTAGATAAAAAGAATTAAAACACAGTATCTGCCTGGCTTTTAGAGTCCTGCTCTGTCAGGATGAGGATGGTAGCAGTGTGGAATCAGCCCTGGACAATGGTCTGTCTTCAGGTGACATCAACAAGCCCGTGCAGTCAGGAAAGAAGCAGCAAAACTCCAGGTCTGCCATGGGTCATCCACCTAGCACAGGAAGCATTCCTTCCTCTATTCCAGGTGAGCCAATGCAGAGCCTAGCATTTCCATTCAGATGGACTGAGCCTAATCCCAAATTAAGAGTTAAAAGGTACGCTCTGTAAGTGGATGTGGCAATGGAATTTGGTTTAAGATGGAATGCTGTTTATTTTACTTGGCTTTTTAAAGAATGCTATTAACTAGTGCTAGATGGCTGCTATCAAAAATGTGTAGCCCATGTGTGTTCATCACTTATATAATTCACATAGAGAAGACCTATGGCTGTGTTCGAAGTCCTCGGTTTGGATACAGAGGGTTTTCTATTGAAACATGAAAGAGAAAAAACTTTTCTCACTGCACTAGATTACAGTGGGTTGTATTGATCAATCCATACATTTTTAAGGAGGAGCCTCCTAGCAGCAAGGATGTGAACAAAAGGCTGCCTGTTTCTTCCAAGGCATTCTAATCTATATCAGTTTTTGATGCACTACACAAATAAGGAGGTGAAACCAAGGTTTAAGATCTTTATTGCTTTGCAAGATTGCACAGTCTATTCATTATTTTGGCTCTGACATTGCCAGGAATTAATAGGTGTACTTGACAAGGATGGCTATTACCCTATGTTGTCCTGACAGGTGCTATTGATATTGGAAAATTGTCAGCTTAGCCTTCGTGCAGACTTGATAGATGTCATGCATGTCGGAGTGAATGCTGAAGGGAGGCTGACACTCCTACACTCCTCCTCATCTCTGCTACGTGCAGAGAGAACAGGGAATGATATGTACCAAGCCAGGTGTTCTGGAACAAGCAGAGTCAAAGATCAGTGCACACAGCAGATGCCAGCTATAGCCCAGAGCATCCTGTACCTCCACACTTGACAATTCAGATATATAAAACAAAAGCTGTGCGAGTGAAGGGTCTTGTACAGTAAAAATAGTACGTTTGTTACTGCAGTGATGTCTTTTTAATTTCATTATTATGGTTTGGCTAACCGTCTGCCAGTACTAGAGATTTTCAACTTTCTTGTAATGATTAATCAGAATTATCGTTGAAGTATGCAAGGTTTAGAAGATATGTTTACAGAAATATTCGTCTCCAGAGTATCTCTTAACCATCCAGTGTTGTGCCCACTATTAGCGTACAAAAAAAGCAAGAACTGCCAAGTAGACAAACGGTTGCAGTAGAGGACTACAGTGTAATTTGCTGCAGAAGAATAATGAAGAGAGCCTGATGATGTATGGGTTTGCTAGAGTTGTGCCTATTTGCAAAGGGATAGGACAAGGTTTAACAACCATGAAGGAGTTTTATGTAACCCGTCAGACCTCTGTGTGAAGTGAAAGACCAGAATGGCCTGAGAAAGATGAGGAGAGCTCTCTGAACTATTTGAGAACTGTCTCAGTTGCTCTGCTGAGGTACAGTACATGAAACGGTGGAATGCAGAGTGATGAGGAGCTGTAACACCACAGCCCTCACAGAGGAACTGATCAGGGGAAGAAACTGCTAAAATGCTCCCCCTTTTCAAAAAGTGCTGTTTTTCTTCACCTTCTAATTTACATTTCAGTAGTTTGGTTAAATTCTAATAAAAAGCGGACATAAAGGAATATCATATGTAGTACTTTGGCGTTAACTGACCTGGAGGAAACAAAACTGCTGGAATAGAATTAGCTCTATCTCGGTCCCCCTTGCTTACAAGGAA